CCCCCCCCCCCCCCCCCCCCATGCTGTACCCAGTTCCCTTTTTACAACCATGGTGGTGACAGCGTTATTAGATTACACACTAACGTGCACGCGCGGCAGGACCGGCTAAGTAAACAAAGCACAGAGAAGCTCGGATACAACACACACTGAGGGAGAGGACTTTATTTTCTGCTCAGGACGCCATTACTACTAGACTATTTTACATAGAAAATAGTTGTTTGATGCTTTATTAATGCTCTGTATTTCAAATTTAGCACTTCTATTTATATCTATAAAATGGGACAAAATTGCCTTTGAAATAGCAGCCTTGAATTTCATAATAGATTGTCTTTTAAATTGAAAACATATATAAGCAATAATACACTACAGAGATTTTTGTTTTTTGTGCTAGAACATATCAAACATTGCTATGTCATAAATAACAGCGTGCAGACACAAGTCCTCGGCTACATCGAGTTTCAAAGGAGCAGAGTGAGGACTGAGGAGAGTTGTGTCACTGCTCCATATCGACAATTCAAACTGTGGAGTTGTCTGTAAATACAAAAAACAAACACTGTTTTGAAATGGTGTTTTTTTAAAGACACTGTTGTATGTTTACGGGTAGTTGGTTAGTCTCTACATGTTCCTCTGAATCAAGTGAAATTACTGAAACTGACTGAGTTTATCCATTAATGAATCCAAGAGAGAAACTTTGCACAAAATTAACCTTTTTCGTTTCATTATACTAATGAGTCGTACCGTTTTCTACTGTGTTCTGCGATCGTTAACAGAATGAAACTTCGTATTTAAGACATGATCATTTTTAATGTATGGGCTTTAAAAAGTAAAAACGTTGATACATGTTGATGCATACCACTGATGTTCTGTTATCCAGACTTGTGACCACACATTGAGGGTCAATGATGAATGTAGTATTGGTTGAATGTTCGGTGTTTTACAGGTGAAACAGTGTTGCTGTTTGTTGTTGGGTATTTTGGGCGAGTCGTTCGTCTGATATTTTGTTTTGAGAACACCTGTACATCCAAAATCATTGTGATCTACCAATCATATTACAGATCGAGAATTAGTGAATATTTTTGATGCCATTATCTGTGCTGTACTCGGTGTGCGTTTGTGTTGCATGCCTACATTTATATATTTGTTAATCTTTGACGGAACCAATTAAAATGCCTTTTCCTTTACAAGGAGTATGCAGTTTGATTTAATAAGATTATTGAAAAAGTCAATTTTTATCCGTCAATAAACATAAAAAATACTGCAACAATGACAATGTATATGGATAAATAGTTGGTAACCATAGACTGACAGGAGATGGCGCTGTAGACTAAGGATTTAAGATGTTTTCCCTGTAGCGGGAATAAACCTTCCATGATAAAAACATCCAAACAGATAGTGAGGTCTATCTGCTCTTCCCCCTACATGATTAATACAACTACAGTAACATGTACTAGTGTACATTCATGGAGAATTTAGTTTAAAAAAATTCCAGTAATATAATTTGTCACTAGCTTCCTCCCTCGACCCCCTCGACCAATAAGCTTAGTGTTGCTATGCCCTATCAGCTTGCTGATTGGCTGATACAGCTGTCAATTACTCATCAAGTCAATGGCCAGTGAGATTTTTTGCCAAAGATCAGTCAACTCAGCCATCAAGATAGCTCCCGTCCTCCGGAATGTCTGCTATTGAGCTGTCGTGTTAACAATCAAGTTGTTTTTACTGTGTTAAAGTTACCAATTGAAGTGCTCCATACCGTTTAATTTCATTAAAAAGCTATATTGTGATGGTCAGCAACCGTAAGGAGTTAAAAATTTTCTTGGAGGTAGGCCCAGTTGTTATAATAGGCCTAACTGTCTTGTTTAGCTAGCTAACTTCTGGGATAACTGTCAAAACTGAAAAAACAAAAACATATTGCAAATACATGTTTACATAATTTTACAGCATGTATTCATCCAGTAGGCAACAATTGGTAAAGGTAAACAACTGTCACATTCATACTGATTAAGCACGACACTGTTTTTAAATACAATATTAGCAACGTATCATAACAGTATAAGTAACAGACCACTAATCACGTTGCTAAACGTCTCAATGAAACATACAAAACCCAGACACTGGACAGAAACCGAAGAAAATAAGCCATCCTACCCGAATAACGGTTGTTGTGCGAACACGGAAGTTGGTTGGAGGGAACCCTCTCGCTCCGGCTGGCCGTTTCATCACTCTCTTGTAGTTGCCTCTTCTAAACTCTGCTGGGCATCACTGCGCGTCAAAACATTGCGTCTCTGCAGGACTTGTCAGGGCCGGGAGAGAAGAGGAAATTTGCCTGGGAAAGGAATGCGAAAGGGGGTTTAGGATTGGCACTGCCACGAGGAAAACGAGGAGGTGCGAAATTTTCTAAGCTACGCGGAGAACCGTTTTTCTTCCCTTCAAAGGTAAAATAATTCCCTCTGCGTTATTTTTCAGTGTGGTGCGTTTGTTGTTATGCGCACAGCCCATCCAGTAGCCTACTTTTTAACGGAGACAACTTTTAACATGCAACCACACGTGCTGTAATATCACAACAACAACACAAGTTTATGGCTTGTATACTGCCAACAACATGTATTACATGGCCGTCATGTGTAGTCATCATGCCTGGACCTCTTATACACAGCCTATGGCCTGGGCTGATGTTTTCTTCGTGAATTGGATGCTGAGGTCTACTCTGCAGTGAAGCTACAGTATCTAGTGGTTATTATTACAGTCACATGCTGTTTGTGGTGGCAGTCCTGAACGTATGCGCCATCATCCCCGTGCGCGCGCTTGGTCGTGATGGTGCACGTCAACGGTGATCAATGCGGGTTATCGTGTAATACGCACATTGTGATCATAAACTCTGACGACAATCACCTGGTTCTCATCGATCTGCAAAAGTCATTGCAGATGTTAGAGCTTTTCAGATTGGGTGATGTGTGTGCGTGCGTGTGTGCGCAAGCGTGCGTGTGTGTTTTCAGCATTGCTGAGCTGAGGCATCCCCGCCATCTGTGCTGCGTGTGGTGGCTGAAGTTCTGCCCCAGATGAAGTGCGCCACTGCTTATGACCTGATTCAATAATCACACACACACACACACACACACACACAGTGTGTAAACCTTCATGGTTTGTGTATTTATTGATGGTTAGCCCACGTGACATCAGCCATGCCATACAAGTCAATGACAGTTAGGCCAGCAGGTGGAAATGCTTCATCCCACCCCTAAAAAAACATGTACTAAATAAAGTCCATGTGAGACAGTTTAAGAAGAGACACTGTTATTAAGTTGCAACCTTTGCACTGATCTATTTTTTACTGCAAAGCCTGCATGCAGATAGTTATTGATCATGTGAGGAGTCATGATCAATATCAGAGCGTTGCAGGCCTTGTAGAGTAATCCTTCACAGAGAGGACTTATAGACATGAACATAAACATATGTACAATGTGTTGTGCCAATGCTTGGACAGGTCTGAGTCACTCTGTCCCATCATTCACTTTGTTTTTTTTGTCACCTTTAATCACTGCTTTCACAGTTTATCATCCGATAGCCTCACACAGAAATTCAACAGGAATTATATTTACGAACAAACCAGAAAATTGGCATTTAAAGAGTTTCTCTTGGACAAACTCTGCAAGGAAATACACAAGTACGAGTGTCTAAAGTACCCGAGAAGACGCTACAAAATAGAGACAGACAGAAGGATGTGAGTAAAGATCAGCCATAGCAACAGTAACCAGACACATACACCTGGGATGCATCGCTTCATCGGTGAGATTTAATATGGTTAGGGGGGGGGCAGAGGGGAGATTTTTCCTCCTCTAGTCAGTGATGTCATGCTGTTGTTGGCGTTGGCGTAAGACTGAATGGAGAGCAGGAAGAAAGTAAGTACAGAAATCGTGTCGGTGCAGCTTGTGGGCAGCAGCGTGGGGCGAACACAGCTCATCCATTACTGAAGGGACACTGCTTCTTCCCTCGTCCTCTCCCCGTTCGTTTAATTCCCTCCTTGTCCCCGTCTGACTCTCATCTCCCCCCCCTCCTGTATCTCTGTCGTTCTCCTGCTCTCGATCATTGTCAGAAGCAGCATCAGCAGCGGCAGCATCAGTGCGTTACATAACAAAGGTTTTTTTGTTGGGATACAAGGGCCCTTTTGGCTGTTGAGACTCGTGGCGCGTAGCCTTTTGTGATGACACCCAGAAATGACCAGAATGGACAGCTCGGTGACCTCAAACGACCCGCGGCAGAACTGATGAATGGACAGAGGGACGGCAGAAAAAATAAATATACAAGCAGGCCGAGAGGCATAGAGGCAGACTGAAAAATTATAAAAGATGGACAAACATATACAAACAGGTTATACAGACAGTTTTGCTAAACTTTCCTGCTGTTGGAGCCCGTCTGAATCGCTGTACCCAGTTCCTCTAGTCATCTGATCATTCATGCAATTTGTTATTCTGTCAAACTGGGTTTGTTTTTTAGTGCAAAGCGGCCCTGATCGACTCTTTGCGTCAGCGTATTACAGCGAGTCAGCACCCTTGTTCCCACAAACCATGTTGCATAGCAAAATTTGTTTCAAGCACGTCCACCCACCAACACGAGTGATTAAATGTTTTGAAATGTCAAACAGCATCATAGTGCAGCCTTGTTCAGATCCAGGATAGTTTCATGTGTTTAATGTGGTAAAAGCCTTTTACCTGCTTTCCCCCCCCCCTCCCCCGATTATCAAAACAGTGCATCACGCAGCGACTATATGACAATGTATTTTTAATAAAGTGTGTGAGAGGTATCAGCTGTTTTCTTCCAAAGCCATCGACATGCACTGGCCCACTTGTTGTTATGGCTGTAATGAAGTGATTCTTCAGAAATAATACACCGAGAGAACCCCACATGGATTATGTATGACCTACAAGAAGATGTGCAACACATGCACGACTTTAATCCAGCACCGATTTTTCCAGAGCCGATGGTTTGAGTAAATATCTCGCCTCTCAGCTGTCGCCGACAGGTTCTCGTCTATACATAACATTTTAGTAATCTAGCCGCTACATTTATCATGTGTGACTTGTTGCAAATGCAGGGGTAGAGGCTTAATTGAATTAGAAGCTTAAATTCCTAGATTAGCTACAATACTTAAGACTAATTGCTAAGATATAAATCAGGCAGCTTTGTGCAAATGTAAGTGATTGTCTTGATTTGTTGAATTTCAAATTGCTTGTTTTGTCTGACTAGCGGTCTAGAACTCAAATATATTCAGTTTACTGTCCTAAAAGACTGACTAATCAATCAATCCACTAATCATATCAGCTCCAAGTTCCACAGCAGCCAAATATTTAAAATAATCAAGTGACAAAAGTCTGAAATTATGTCAGTAAATTGTCAATGTGTCAGTTCTCAATATTTTGAACTGATCTCAGAGGACTGGATCCTACGTAAACTTCTTCCTTGTCCTCAGTCCTGAAATGACCGAGAGGATGAAACACGCTTTGGGTTAAACACCAGTGTGTGTGTGCGTGTGTGCGTGTGTGTGTGTGTGTGTGTGCGTGTGTGTGTGTGTCAGGGGTCACTCCGACAACTGTACTGAGCGTGTCTTTGTGCCCCTATCCCACGCCGCTGGCATCGTGTCAGAGGAGAGAAAACAAGGGCACATCTCACTGCCTTATTTATTCATATCCCCCGGTCCTTCCCATCAGCACTGGAGCCTTCATCAGCCTCCGACACCAATAACAATCATATTGCAGGGCGGTAAAGTAAAGAGGCCTCTCTTTCTCTCTCTCTTCTCTTGTTTGTTCTGAAGTCACAGAGGCCTCCTGCTCCCATTCAGTATTTTATTAGTTTTTCCAGATGGCTCAGTAAAGACAGACAGGAAGGGAGACAGAATGGGATGGCCTATTGTGAAGGTGATGAAACAACTCCAGGTATTACAGAATTTTATAGGAGGCATAGTCTTCTGAACTATATAACAAGTTATTGGTTTCATTCATTTAGAATGCTCATGTCTTTGTATTTTACTGTTACAGTCATTTAAAGTAGAAAGAATAGTTGACATAGGTAGTAAAAAGGTGCATATACTATTTAAATGAGGCTCATTGCCGCTTTATGAAAAGTAGCACTGGGGAGTAGAGCGAGATTAGATTTTGCGTTTAGTACCAGAGCTACAGGGCTGAAACCGCAACTAAAGTTGCATTAAGCAATAAAACCATAAAGATGAAATCTGCAGCCCAAGGTAAAGAGCACAGGCCCCTAACAGCCTCCTGTACAGTTAGTCAAAACATACTCCTGGCCTCCTGGCCCCGAGCCTCTGGGATGGGTTCCCGGGCCAGCTCAGTAATCTTGTCAGTCACCAGGGCACACCAGCAGAACTATTTTAAGGGCTCGGTCTATTTGGATATCATGGAGTGAGCAGAGCACGATCCTTGTCGTTATGCTACGCTAAGCAGATTATCTCTGCAGCCTCACAGACTTAAACACTGAGTGTAGGCTCTAGTGTGGCTGCAGAGTCCCGAGTAAGTGCAGAATAGTTTGACAACAAGTTACAGCTGGGATTGCCTTCATTATCAGTGTTCTGCCACATCAGTTAATTCATTTATGGTTTGGTTTATAAAAGCCCCAAAAATTTGATAAAATTGCCAACCATATTTTACCAGAGTGCAATTTGTCATCTAAAAATGTCCGACCAACAGGCCAAAACCTAAATGTGTTCAACTAACAATGATACGATACAGGAAAGCAGCTAATCGTCATATTTGAGAATCTGGAACTATGACGGCTGAGACACTCTAGCACCTCTGTGAGGCTGCACTTACAGCGATGCATTCAGCTAAATGCTAAACGTCAGCATGCTCACATGCACACAACCAACATGCTAATGTGTATCATGCGGGGATAATGTTTGCCATGTTCAACATCTTAGTTAGCGTGTTAGCATGCCAACATTTGCGTATCAGTATTAAACACAAAGTAATGCTGAGGATGGGAATGTCATTTGTTTTTCAGGTGTTTGATTTGAAACAAAATACCTGCAAATACCTACATTGGAAAATTTTACTTTCGTCTCAATGGTGGCACTCGAGGAAAAATTTGTGGATCACCAAGTCAGGATTCATCCTCTGGGCACCATGAATGTCTGTACGAAGCTCGACATTGTCATCCCTTGAGCCATGCCACTGGCATGGCTGAAAAAAATGACTAACTAAGCAATTATGATAACAGTTACCTCTTGATTTCTTTTGTCTGTCTCTGCTTCGATAGCCCAAACTGTCCTCTCGACCAACTAGGACTCATATTTGGCCTCTAGAAGAAGCGATGTCCTGTGTGGTGGATGCCTGTACCTGTACCATGTTTGTATCTCATCTCATAAAAAAAAGTAGAATTTCTTCAGTGTTTTATGCTTGCAACTGAAATGTGTAATGTAGTGTCTCAGCCTGGAACACAGGCTCATTAATTATGCATCACTTCACATCATAGCTCTTTGAGGTTTAACAGTTTCAAAGACGCAAGCAGGTCGGAGACTTCTCTGAACACACAGAGCAGACTGTAATCCCATGAGCAGTTACACACCTGTGGCTCAGTTGACAACATCAGTTTAAGGAAGCAGCTGTTACCCAACCGTGTAACCATTAGCCGCTCCTCTATCCTCCCCTGTGCGCAGGTGTTCGCCTCCCAACCCGCCGCCCACCACGGCCCTCACCTGTGTGTTGCGGTGCTTCCCTTGTGAGCCGACCTGGGCTGGCAGTCCCTTCTTGCACCGCCCGCCAACTCCGCCCATGGTCAGAATGACGCGCTCCAAGACCTTCCAGGCGTACCTGCCGAGCTGCCACCGGACCTACAGCTGCATCCACTGCCGAGCTCACCTGGCCAACCACGACGAGCTCATCTCCAAGGTAAGCTGCTCCAGCGGCTTGAGTCATTTTACCAACAGTGGCTGTTCCTGGAAACCATGACAGTATTTGCATCCAGGCAGCTAATTATTACAGAACTTCAATTTCATAGCGCTGTCAATAATACAGAGCAAAATTGACGAGGATTAACAGCCATTAAACGACAAGCGTTGCAGATTTAAAAAAAGAGGCAGAGCGGCTGGGGAATTATGAAAACAAACAGGCTGAACACCTGTACGTCTGTGTCAGCCGCCACCACGCTATTGCTTGTGGATGGATTATGTTATAAACTGGTTAGAGAAGAGGATTATGAATGCAGTCTCACTTTTTCCACATGTGATAATGAAAACACTGCTCACCTGTGAGCAAAGGCCTTCTGTCGGTCGTAACACATCTGCGCAATAGAAACCTCTTTAACGTGTCCCTTCAACAGTAGCTTTCAAAATAACTGCCTGCAAGGGAATAACTCCATCGCAACTAAAGCCACTTATGCATCATCTTATTATACAAGAGCTTCTTTTACAGTAAAGGCCTGTCTCAAATGAACATGTGGGTATTTTAGAAGGAGACTAAAACTCTCTCTTATTTGACTCATGGCATTATGGCACTATAACAGCATGCTTATGTAATTGTATAGTTACCACACTATGAAAGGGCTCATTCTTGTTTCAGCCTTTTCATCTTTGTCTCATCTCGTCTCTGCAGTCGTTCCAGGGGAGCCAAGGCAGAGCCTACCTGTTCAACTCGGTGTGAGTATCCCTCTCTTGTTGCATTTCAACCCACCTGGTTCACGTTATGCCTTTCGAAAAACTCTCCTGCAGGCTGGACTTAAGGCAGGAGACCAGTGTTCTAACTCTGTTGTTTTGAAATAGGTTAAGAAGTGCACACTGTTTGTTTCACACAGTAGCCGTGTTGTATTTGAAGCCTCGGCGTGGAGGGAGCCAGCCTGTGCCTCGGAGTCATTATCAGCCGAAATTGAGTGTGAAAATTAGGCTGTTTGAATCTATGCTTCCTGGCCTGGCGCCCCATCGGTATGCGCTGTGTGAGTGGGTGTGAGGCAGTGACTCACTCAGAGTACATCATACAGTACATGCAACTGAGCCACTTGAACAATACTAATTTCTAACTTTTGTTTCTTTGTCTCTCCTTCCTCTCTACAAACTCCCCCCACCCCTCTCTCTCCCTCCCTCCCTCCCTCCCTCAGGGTGAACGTCGGCTGTGGCCCTGCAGAAGAGAGGGTTCTGCTCACAGGCCTGCACGCTGTCGCAGATATCTACTGTGAGAACTGCAAGACCACCCTGGGCTGGAAATATGTAAGTGTCCTGATTTTGATGCACAAGCACCGCAAACTGCATCCAAGGGTAGAGGACGATAAATTGGGAGGTTGTTATTATAGCACACCCTCATTTTATTTGCACCCTACTTATATTTGGACCTCCTCTTCTCTCGGGGTCAACGCAGTGTTACTGCTGTGTGGGCTGAATTAATTATGAGATAGATTTCTCAGAACAGATGGAGATATGAAGGAGAAGTCTTTATTTATCTTATGCGACTTGATTAGTTTAGCTGTGATACAGCTTTACAAAATACACATGCAGGATGTATTTAGTACAGGTGGTATTTTATGTCTCATGTCAGGGAGAACTTAACAGCATCCACACTTGTTAGCCGTCTTCATATGTCAACGGAGCTGTGCATGGGCAGCCGTCACTGGTGAACCCCGTCCGCGTGGAGGTGAGAGTTTACACTAAAGGGCACATGACTGTATCCTGAAGGAGTTGGCACACACACAAACCATGTCCTTGTTGTTGGACTTCTCAGAAGTCTCCATTGACCAGCACTCTCAGCCTAACATCCAACTGTCACCGCTACGTGTCTAACCTTAACCCCGATTCTATAACCTTCCAGCCTAAAAATATCCGTTTTCCTTATGCCGCCTGGTACAAACACCTGGCGAACCAGTTTTAAAAGTAGAAACTTTCCTGGGCAGTTTCTATTCCTGTCAGGACCCCACAAGGCAGAAACAAAACAGAGGTCACACGCATGCACAAGCACACAGACACTAGATAGGACTTAATGGAGGGTCTCCATTAATGTCGGTTGCAGCAGTATTGATTTTCCGCAGTCGTCAGAGTTCTATTGAGAGGCTTGACCTACTGCACTTCTAAATTAAGAAATCTGATAACGTGCCTCTGCAGCGCTGAGCCAAAATAGCCAAAGACAAAGCAAGACAGACGCTCCACAGTGAAAGAACATTTGTGTCAGCCGACTCCAGCTTTCAAGTGAGGCCTAAAATGAGTGTGTGGCTTTTGAACAACACAGGGTTGTTAATGGACTTGGACACGAAGCAGAAGTTGTCATTTTCTTTAAGTTGCATGGCATTGATTAGCAACTCAAAACACGAGCTGTGTCGAAATTATCCCCATAATACAGTGTTTTTTAAAAGGATGTGATAATAATAGTAAAAAGCGTATCTTAACCTCTTGTCTTGACCTCAACGCTTCCAAAAAGGTCTTTTCAAGCTTGCGGCTTGGGATTAGTGCTTGCTGCTATCATTGTCAGTTACTGGGGCCAGAAATATCCAAATTTGGGGATATGCGAGGTGGAACTGGAACAAGCTGTGGTAAGATTGGCAAGCAGAAGCCACCGCAGCTGAGCATGATCAAGTGACCGCCACAAGAGACATCCGTTAGATAAAAACACTCCCAACACCTTCCTGTAAAAGTCTTCTGGAACAGCACTAGTAAAAATCCCTATAAAGGCACGTATTAGAAGAAGGAACATTCGCTATTGTGACAGTCAGCAATGTTCACAGCTCTGTGAGGCTGCTGTACTTCGACACAGCCTTGCTTTATGCTAACATAATCATGCTAAAATGCTCTCATGACAATGCTAACATACTCATGTTAAGCAGGTAGAATGTTTACAATATTTGCCATCGTAGTTTAGCTTGTTAGCATGCTAATATGCACTATTTAGCACCAAACTAAGTTAAAACAGCTGAGTTTGATGAGAATGTCATTAGTTTTGCAGGTATTTAGCCATAAACCAAAGTATGAGCCATTGGAGAAACTTACCAGCTTACACAAGTAGCCTTGGTGGATGCCACCTGGCCTCATTGTGCTTGAAGATCTTCATTTCAATAAAACCCTGGCTACATGCCCGGGGGAAAAAATGCTGGATTACAGTTTTTCTCCATTGTATGCACACAATTCTGAAAATTTGAGGCTTCAAATATCAACGAAAACAAAAACTCTAAGCAAAACTTTCCCTGGGTTTAAAGTATCTCAAAAAGGCTAATGACTGTAGCAATCATGCTTTTCATATGAATGACATTTGCAGTCAACATACCGTTTGTATCAGGAAAACTAATGTTGATTATGTTGTTGATGTATTTCAGTTGATAAAAACAACACTAAGTGGAGCTGCTAGGCTTCTGTGAAGTTGGAGGAATTTTGGATTACACACCTAACATTAGAAATGCATGTTACGGCCTGCAGAAATAGAGCAGACTCTACAGCCATGTTGGCGGTTACGAGGCTCAAACCTGTGGCCTTTCGGTTTTACCGACGGTGAGACACACATTCCCGCCAGCTTAAGGTATGACGATCCAGCCCGGTCAGAGATTTGGTTCTGCAGGCTCCTCTGCAGTGTTTAGTGACTGACAGTTACATAACCAGCTTCCAGAGAGCCAGCAGCAGAGACAGGCCAGGACTGAGTCAAGAGTTTTCATATCTAGCTGTAAGGGCTGTCATGAGCAGGGACATTTTAAATGCACCTTGTGTCTGTTGCTAGCTATCCTACTCTCTGTCAAATACATGGACATGTTATTGTTCTCCGTCCATCTGTCATTTTAATTAAATCCCTCCTGCCCTCTGCCACACCCTCCAGGAACATGCCTTTGAGAGCAGTCAGAAGTATAAAGAGGGCAAGTTCATCATCGAGCTGGCCCACATGATCAAGGACAACGGCTGGGACTGAGGGGCGAGCAACCGGGACACCACTGCAACAGAGAAGGGGAGG